CTCTTGAATCACGTGAATCTCAAAACTCGTTGGTTGCTATGCGAACCATCGATCATGCAACTTGGTGCAACACGGCAGTAATGAAGTTGAATGTGTTCCATTCTTGGTTTAGCGTCCTCTCTAATGACAAAGAAATTATTAGGGAATGTAAAGTTGAACATCAAAAAAGACGTCAAAACTAAGAAACATAGCCAGGTCTTTAGTAGAAGAGAGCCTTTGGAATGAATCAAACCCATTGAACGCAAGAATCTCAATGTTGCGTTTGGCGAGCGAGGCATCTTATTGTACATTATAATGAGTGGAAGAGAGAAAGAAGTCTCATGGTTAAGATTAATTCCCTGAGTTAGCTTTGTATATGTTTACACACCTCAAATAAACAAGGGGCTAAGCAGAAGCCTCCAATAATAAATGCAATTGACGTTGGCCGAGGCCGGTGGAGTATTCTTGCTTATATGGAATTGACCTTGAGTCTAGACACTGCCTCTTAGCTGAAGCTGTGATTTGATGTCAAAACAACCGTTCAAGTTTTTTCTCCTCACGGGAGTGTATTTGGGTGGGACTTTTCAGGCCGATTCCTAGCATTTTCCCTCCATTGTGCACCCCGGGGAATGTGCATGAAATATTTTTATAGACTTCACAATGTTGATGATCAATAGATAGAAGCTGAACAGTCTCACGGTTCTGTAAGACGATAAGAATAGGTATGATTTCTCTTTTTGATACTTCTGATGGGTTTATCATGCGGAGAGGGCGAGGAAATGTGACCTGTGGTAGCTCAACCCCCCCCCCCCCCCCCCATTAACCCCAGGCCCGTAGCTGGATGGTCAATACCAATGTAGTAGGTCTGCTTTTCAGAAACGCACCAAACCAACCTCGTCTTTCATCAACCTGCTCTAACCTCACACCCTTCATCTCCTAACCATCATCAATTCTATCCCCCTCCACGTTCTCCATCAACCCACTCTCTCATCATCATCTCCATCCCTCTCATTGTCATCTCCATCCCTCTCATTTTGATCCTCACAGCCTCTATTTCCCTAGCTTCTGATTTCTCTTCACACAGTCTCGCCCCTCGAACAACTGAAAATTTCCGAGACTTGGTCAATTCTCTCTAACACTAGCCAACCGTATTTGGCAAAGCTTTTTCTGAGAGGAGAGTCTCCTTGAACATGTGCTCTTACGCACCGCTACCATCAACCAATGACCGTTTGTTTGAGGACTACCTTGCCTCAAGTAATCAGCAGGAAAGTATTTACATTGGAGGTGCTCCACAGGACTCAGATCTAGATCTGTCAATGATTGAAAACAATAATTTAACGTGAGAATGAGCCAAAAGATTTTCTCATCATTTAGGGAGCAAAATGGAACTAACCATTATGCATCCATCCCCCACAGAAATATTGCGGGGGAAAGCTCTATGCTATTGCCTGAGGAACCAAAGCTTAAAGTTCTATATGGTATATATCGAGATATTCCTATCTCGAATATTGTCAGTGATTCAAAGGGGAGAAAGCTAATTTTAAGGTAGATGCGGTCTGGAAGTATGGCTCGGATGTTTGGGGTCAAAACGCTCAGACCGCCGAAGCCCCCCCAGATCAGAGGTTGGCTTAATTATGCATACATACATTTCCCGATTATTATACTAACAGGAGATGAAGTGCATATAGTAGCGGTCAGCAATGTTACTTTGATAGACTTCCAACGTCAAGCGGTAAGGGACTTCCCCCCCCTTGTGTGGTAATCTTAACTCTGCTGATAAAAGCTTCCAGAATTCGATAATTCGAAAGAAAAATTCGACTATCACTCAAGATTCATTGATCCTTCGCTATTATCAAATCCGTCGTCATCCCCAGTGTTCGCTGGAGAATTCGATGCTGCAGAATCTGATACTAGTGAGTTTGATACACCCAGAGTTTCCCCCTGCATCGTCCGCCATAATTTATTTCATTCTCGGGTTAATAGCTTTCTTATCCCAGATACTGAGGATAAGGTCCATGGTGCGGTCGGAAGTTATGGTCTCCAGAAAAACTCCGAATTTCCTCCCTCATCCGAAAATTGGGGATATATCGCATCCAATAATATAGAAAGGAGTAAACGGATGCCAGTGGAAGGTTTATCTACCATGCTCGATCAGTTCCCGCATGCTCTCGAACTAAAGAACAACGTTTCTTGTAAAGATGAGCTTCCAACGTCTTCTGGAGGCACTCAGAGAGGTTTGTTCTATCTTTCCCTATTCTGTGAGTTCTATTTAGTCAGCTAATGGACTTTCTGGTTGATTTGATTGGTTCAGTTTCACTAGAAACTGAAGCTCCTAGTATTAATGGCCGTAGGAGAATTGAGTGTCAATTCCCAGACTGCAATAAAAAGAAGGGATTCAAGAACATGCAAACCTATACAATCCACATGAGGAAGCATCAAGACTGTTCTACCAAAGCACTGCCTGCCTACCCTTCGCAAGTATCTGATATCGACTTAGCTAATCCGGGCGTACCATTACCTTACGTTATACCCCCGCCGGTAGAGATGGAGGATAAGATTTTTCGATGCCCATATGCTGGTTGTAGGTTGGCACCTTTCAAGTCGATAAATACATTCAGACGTCATTGTGATTCGGTCCACAGTGGGAAAGAAGCAGAATGTCCCTTTTGTATGCTTGACAGATCCGGTCGAAAGGATAGAGATAACTCGAAAAAAGCTCATTTATTCACCAGAGCCGATGCACTACAAAAGTAAGTTCATAACTACCAATTGCGGAGCCGATGCTTAATTTTTAAAGTGCTGTGATGTTGATATTTATGATTTTCTTTCAGACACCTCAAACGTGTGCATCCAACCATTGAAAAAAACGATTCCAGGGTCCTTGATGTCATGAGAAGCTTGCGGCGTGGGAACGGAAAGGGAGTGATTTGGGATAAAACAACTGAGCCCGCTGGTAAAGGTTTTGAAGGACGAGATGAGAACGGCATGCTCGTTGTGGACTCTATAGCCCCAAAACGGAAACGCACTAGTACTAAAGCCTGTAAGGACCATTCTCAGAAGTTGAAAAAGGCCAAACTTCACGAAAGTCCAAGCAAGGAAGAATGCGGGCCTGGGGGAGCAAAAGAGGAAGCAACAATTTCTCCCCATTCCAGCTTATCCATATCTAGCCATTATTACCCCAGCTTCGACTCTTCTAGTAGCTTTTCTTCCTTCATTGATTCATCATCCTCGATTTCCCCATCTACCAACGGGTCCGCTGAGATCGTGGTACCATTGCGCAAAGGGCAACGAACATCCACTGCTGCGGCATGGAACGGAAAAACGGGAGCCAAGGTGTCCGAGCTCAAACGAGAGGTAGATTCAGACGAAGAGACAACATCTGCGAAGAGACCAAAATATTTCCATGCTAGTGATATGCTTTGCGGCCTTGGAGAAGCTGCGAAAAAGGAAAATGCGCCAGAGTTCCTGGGCTTAGGTAATGAGGTAACTGGTCAAAATGTGGCCTTGAAGTCTAAGGCTCCAGACGGAGGGGGATCTGCGTCATCGTTTGGTGAGTTTCTGCCTTAGACGATGGATCCCTTGTTTATAATGAACCTGACTGACAGGTATTAGAATACTGTTTAGCGTCGCTCAATCATAACGGCGGGGGCCACCAGATTCAAAGCTCTGATACCCCAGCTAGTGTTGTAACGTACCCTGCTCCTTCGAATAACTGGACAACGGAGAATGCGATTGATACCGATACCTGGCGCCATGATTGCCCACGGGGGGGAAGCCGGGGGGGAGCCGGCTTTCCCGTCTCAATTCAAAGGGCCGGAGTAAGAGAATTCATCGGAAATGATGTTAAAAATTCAATTACTATTACTGCTCATGAAGCACATGGCATGCTCATGATAGAAGAGAAGGATTATATCAACATTAACAATTCGGGCACCTCATTGGCCTCGAGCTCATCAATAATCTCACAGAATGGTCTTTCTGGATCCTCCGATACTGGACCCCATGATCAACCCAATCAAATTCATGCATTTGGTCTTCCTGTTGAACTGATACCCGAGTCACAATATACTCACTGGCTGTCATACATCTCAAATCATTCGCCAGTTCCTATGGAATAACTATGCATGAGAATTAGCCCCCTTTCTTTTATTACCACCTGTATTTTTTTTTCTGTTCTGCATATATGCGTACAGACTCTCTTTATTATCCCATCATTATTTCTTTATTCTTTCTTAAATTTAACTTAACTATTATTTTTATTTCATCCTCCTCCTTCAATATTGTACTCAACACCTTTCTTTTCTCCTGTAACCGTACCCGTATTTTTTTATGTAAACGGCAGTCTTGATTTTGTTAAAAAAAATAGAATAGATTGAGTTGTATATACATAGAAGGCGGGAATTTTGAAAGCGAGTAGAACTAGGGCATTTAGGATAGCTTAGGCTTGTAAATGTTTTTCTTTTGGAATCGTTATAAATTTCTATAAAGTCCATACACGTATAAATATGGAAGAATCCGGAGTATATACATATATATCTTTTACCGAGTACTTCGATATCTGAATTATGGGACCTGGTCATGACTGGCATAATGTTCGCTTGCGCAAGTGATCAATCATGATTCGAATCCTAAAGCGCTAGTTGTACACATATCAAGACAACACTGGCAAAACAGAGGCCGGATCGGACCTCGTGTTAAAATGTACACCTCCCTGCCGGTTACTATACTCGCGATTTCTGATGATTAAATGCTAGGCGTGGTATGTACATGTACTTGCTAGACTCCTGCCTGCTCTTGATGAAGGCGGCAAATAAAAAATTCACTACTAACCTACCTTATAATTCCAGTTGCATGAAAATACCTGACCCCTGACTCGCCTATTATTATTACAAAGGGTTTAGTGGGTCTGGGTTGGCACATTTGTATCGCGTAACTAAGAACCGAAAATTGTAGCTCATACGCCTGCCTGCCTACGGGTACACAGGCATAAAGGAGCGAATTCAATAAAAGTAAAAGAGAAGTGCCCTGACTCGGAATTGAACCGAGGATCTTCGCATATCAACACTTTTTACGAGTGCGACGCCTTACCACTTGGCCACCAGGGCTACGATGTCCTATGCAACATTTAAATTTTTAAAGCTAATTATATTAACCTTTACTCTAGTCGATATCTTAATCGGTCATAGTTCTTCTTGGCTTCAACAACCCAACGACACCTGCTCTGCTCTCCTTGAATTATTGTTACATGCGGGCCGTCAGGGCTTTGACGGGGAATATCCACATGCGCATAAATATAGTGGAATATGTACAGGAAAATAACAACTATAAGAGAAAACCAGCAGATCATAGTACGTAGATAATGGGGATTCTAAAAGGTGGGTATTTTTTCTAGTATCCTCTGCTGGCCGCTTAATTGTGCGACGACTTGATCTGATCGAAGATTTGAATTCTTAGCGGGGTTTAATTGGTTCTGTTGATCTTGGCTAAGTCCTGTCCAAAGCTTTTCTTGTCGCATACAACACCTTGGCATGGAAAGCGCCCGCCGGGGAGGTTTTACTCTTTTCCATTTAATAAAAGAAAGTGGATAAAGCAAAACCAATGTTTTTAGTCAAGCGGCGTTTTGTGTCATTTTCGAGCCCGCTGTAGACCATTCGGGCTTTTTAGCTAACACAAAAAGCAGATATTCCACCCTTAACAGCCTTCAGGGTTACTTATTGACTCTGTATTGATTTTGGTGTGTATATAAGAGGATTTTTATTTACCGAAGTAGCCCATATCTTTGCGTGCCAAACACAATTAGTTGGCTGTAGTGATCATGACAGAAATGTGAGTGGAATACATACCGTATATACCGTAGTTTTTGGCAATGTCATGGAACCGCGATAACAGTATATTACCGCATACCTCGGGAGAATATGGAAGCAAAGGGGAGGCAGGTTCTCATATGCCATGGTATCAACTTCCTCCGTTTCTGGTGCTACTTGTATATATGTTGACATTACGGAGTACTATAGATTGTAAATTTATAAGGTATACTGACAAGGAAAGAGACAGCCGCCTAAAGATAGTGTTGGTTCTGGCGAGCTCAGGTTACTACTAGCTAGTCGTGGGTTTGAAATCTCTCCAGGGACAGCCAGCATGCAGTGATGTAAGGACATCTCCTGCTCTGTCTATTGTGAGCCAGTGCTTATTTCATTGTAGAAACGTTGAATGTCTGCAACTCAATGAAATTTTCCCCTCACAATTTCTAGAACCGTAGGGAAGAAAGAATAGGGTCGAAATGATTGTCTCGGGTTGTAAAGAAAAAATCAAGTGACGAGGACGTTGAGACATCAAAGAGCTGAGAAGTAAGAGGATAGTTGAGGCGGCCCTCATGGAACGCCTCTAACAGCTTAGGGTCATTCTGGAAGCTGAAGGGGAGCTTCTCGACGGCCATAACTAGCCACTGCGCCAGAACATGCGGTGTTCAATGAGACACCCACCACCACACAATGCGTTTACCACGACTACACCCCAAGCAGGTGTGATATAGGAGCGCTTACCACACAACCCCCACACAGCCGGGAATACTTCAATCCCACGCCCCAACGTTTTACAATTGGCTCTACCTATTGAGTCGCTAACTTTGTAATTCATTATCTCCTGTCTACGTATATCTCAAGTTGCGGGCACATACCTCATATCCGGCAACTCCTGTGCACTAAAATGGAACATCTCTCAGAAAAGAAATCTACCCTACTGCTAGATGAAAAGAAAATTAATACCAAATTTTATAAGTCAGCTCCTTACAACATCGAAGTTGGTACATTCCACTGGTGTAATGATATGGGCTGCCATACAACGCCTACTCATACCCTTCACTTGGGTGGTCGTGCCACTAAGAATAAAAATAGAGAGCGGAGACCACTCTACATTCTTAAGATATGTGAAGATGAGCGGATCCTAGTCTTGTAAGGCTTTCCGCATTTCCTATCTCGTCTATAGGTGTCTTCTAATCAAAACATATTAGGTCTTCAACGACTCGTTCGAGTCGAGGTTGGGAAGGAATGCCAGAGCAGTATCGTCAATACTTCCTCCCTATCGCGCCAACACCAATGATAGATGATAGACGGTCGGTAGTTCTTGAGGAAGATCCGGAAGCCATATTCTTTGGGAAATCACTTCTATACCTAGAGTTGAATGTGGTCATATATCCTCGAAAGCTCATGGGATATATCGGAAGAGTTACGACCGAAGGCCAGAAGCTCATCCACCGTGAATTCCATGACCTATGTAATCGGATTCGGCAGATTGAAGAGCCTTCCCAAAATAAGTCATTTCAGTCAGCGAAAGAAGTTTCTAATCTCAAGGTCAAAGGGGCACAGAATCGCGAAGCCACTGTCAAAAGCCCTGCCAGGATGAAAAGCTCTGCTAGGATCAAAAGTCCTTTCAGTGTCAAAAAAAGCCCTACCAGTGTCAACCTTACCAGTGTCGGAAGCCCTGGTGTATCTTCACGGCGGGATGCAGACTCACCAACCAATATCAACCACTCAGTGCAAAACTCCTATAGTCCACGTCGTCGTGGGGGGCGGAGAGGCAAGACCTCAAAGCACAGTGGGGGACTATCCACAAACCCACAGGAGCGGGTTATTCCTGTGAATGGTATGAAATACCCAAGGTCTAAATATCACTACAGAACATCGATGAGACTAACACCCAGCCAGAATCACTTCTCACAGGAGGCGGTCTTAGCGCAGCTTTATCCGGTCTAGAGCTTGTTAGCACCAGCAGTAGTAATGCCTCCAATCTGTCCCAAGGTATTGGCAACGATGATATCGTACTTGAAACTTGGGCCGATAACAGGCAACGCCAATCACATCGGCCTGGCCCCTCTATCAGAAAGAGAACCCGCAGGCCACGCGAAGATGACGCCCAATGGCGTAGTACGGATACGACTAAATCCCCAAGATGATGCTCCTGCACGCCTAAAATCCAATTCCCAATCAGCAGAATTGATAATCTTGTCGCAGTCATTACCTGGCAGATAAAATACAATTAGTTGTAAATCGGGTCTTAGCAGGTAGCCACTCCTTAGAAAAGATTTGGTGTTTTGGAATAGTTATGCGGATATGCTCACCAGAATGCTCGATAGATAATACAGCCATACTATACCTCACCCGAATCATCACCCGAGTTTTGCTTTCACCCATCATGTACGGAGTACATATAATTAGGCAGTTAATTTGAGGATAGAGTGGTCTTTTGTTGATTCCTGTTTTGGAGGTGTATATATATGCGTACGACGCGATGATGGAAATCTATCACGATGTTAGCCTTATGTATATTACCAATGAAAAAAGGAAAATTCCAATCTAGCCTTACCGTTACAGAAGAGGCCATCGCCTTTTGGAAATATCGACCAGTTATGGAGGCTGTGGTAGCTTTAATACGCAAGTCACAAACCTAGGACTAAGTAATTATTACCATCGAATTTAACAGCAGCAGCAATGCAGTGAATGAGAGAAAGATTGATCTATAAGGATGATGAAAAGGCACACGTATACCGTGCTGTATCATGATACATGTGCGTACGTGGGAAGCGTAATGTTGTGTAGGTATCGATTCATATAAACCACATTTAGTTGGCGCTTCCCTTAAAAGTACATACGGCGCGAGAAGGCATAGGGGGTGGGTGTGTCAACTTCAGAGGAACATTTTTTGTATGGGAATTGGAGAAAATTCCACCGTTAGGCTGGACGCTAGTACTATTATGGGGGGTAGATCTCCAAATTTCTGTAGATTGATTGGCTGCAAACGCCGAAGTTTACACACCCACCCACCATAGCTTCTCGAGCTATACGTAAGCCCATAGCAGAACTAAGTACTAATCTACCTTAATATGCACTAGTGAGCTTGAATAGATGTACATGTAACATGAGCATGTAGGAATATACATGTATATACATACATGTACGTACAGCCACTCATCAAAAGTGTTCGTGATTCGGATTTAATGTGACATGTCCGGCTCAAGTCGCCCATTGAAATGTTCAAAACCTCAATGCAGCGGTAGTCAAGGGTGGCCAAATCAATATTAGACATTCATAGTATTTGTATTCTCTGTCACTCACTGAATACAATTCTATAGATACATTTTAGTTCCCCACCTTGACTGCAAAATCTGGTAAGCCACATTACGCACTAACCAACTTTGATGTGAATCACGAACACTTTTGATGAGTGACTGTACTTGTATGTATAACACATGTAACATTGAAAGTCCGCTCCTGCCGAGGTATCGGTGATTGTTAGCGGATCCCAATACATGTACATACATGTATATATGTGCAGTCACTCAGTAAAAGTGTTCGTGATTTGGTTTTACAAGCGCGCAGTGTGACGCACCCGTAATGTTGATGTTATTAATGTTGAGATTCAACACAACGCAAAATATATATTACATGTATTTTTCGTGGCTATAATAAAAGAAAATACATGTAGGTCATTAATCTTACTCTTCACTTATTCTGGGCGCCATTGGTCACTGGGAAGTCTTCTCTTGGGGGGTTTGGAGTACCTATGGCGCGAGAAGGCATAAGGGGTGGGTGTGTCAACTTCAGAGGTACTTTTTTTGTATGGGAATTGGAGAAAATTCCACCGTTAGGCTGGACGCTAGTACTATTATGGGGGTAGATCTCCAAATTTCTATAGATTGATTGGCTGCAAACGCCGAAGTTTACACACCTACCCACCATAGCTTCTCGAGCTATACATACATGTATATGTACAAGGCTCTGGGATTTAGTGAGTGAACGGATTGTCACCTGTCAACACCCAATTTTGTTCATTCACTTATGCTAGACCCTTTTACTAATAGAGAAATGACTCACTCCGAAACCGGAATCACGAACACTTTTGCAGAGAGGCTTTACTTATACCTAAATATAACACCGGGTGTTTGTCTAAACCACGCTAAACTGACACCTTTGCTTGAGATGAATTGAAGAGCTACATGTAGTTATATCACTTATTCGAGTGATATACCATGAATCACTATAGTATATACCCTGGGTGCCGGAAAGTGATGCAACGACTCAATTTACCACTCACGACTTCAATCAACCACATGCGGCCCAATTTTGACCATAATGAAACAACAAGATATGGTATATAAAGCAAAGAGAGTATAGAAATTTCATCGATCGTATTTAAATAAAAGAAATTAAGGTGGTTGCGAATTCACTAATTATAAGGCCTCACCCAATCCCAAGCCGCTGCATCACTTTTCGGGACCCTGGGTACATTTAGTTGTGTGCCAAATAGCTTATCTATCCTTATGGCATCAACCAGGAGAATCCCTTCAATTCCATAACTAACTTACAAGCTTATAGCTAATAGGTTTTTCAACCAGACAAGAGAACTTCAGAAAGCTACATTATATCACCACCCAACCGAATGCTTAACCCTCCAAAGCGGCGAATTCGGTAAAAAGTAAATGGACAACAAACAATATTCACCAGCCATTGAAATACGAGGGAAAAGAATCGAAAAGAGAATTAGAACCAAATACAAATATATCAATACAATCATATCAAGCAAGAAGAAATAGCTATTCTAAAACAATTAACTTTTGTGCTCCATATCCCAAAGAGTCAAAGAAAGATATAAAATATATAGTGCCCACTAGCCAACCGAACTTTTCGAGGCCTTTTACCTGTCATCACGTATCGACAAAGAAATAGGGAAAGTGCACACAATCACACACTTTACCTCATATCTCCCCTAATGCAACCTGCAGCAGTGTATCTCCGCCCACCGTTGGGTTGAGACAATGGAGCCTGCCCATCCCATGAGCTTGAACGCTGAACACGAGTGGAAACTACGTGTACCGGTGTTATGCTAGTGGCAGAACCGTTTTTACATCCCATTGAGAGGAGAACCTCCGCCGCAGTATATTCGCTTTGGAGCGCAAATCCCGGCGGAAACAGGGATGGAGCCGGCGGCGGACAACCGAATGTAGTCCGCTTGTTGGCAGCAACAACAGTGCTAGTATGAGCCTTTCTAGCAGAAGGCTTCTCCTGAATGGAAGCCTTTTTGTCGGCAGGGGTCTTCTCAACAGATGAAACCCTCATATCGCCAATATCAACAGAAGAAGCTTCCACGGCCGCAGTAGAAGCACTTTGCCTTGGTTGGACCGCTCTATCAGTGGGTGTTAGTATGGATTTAATGGACGACCGGAAGATATATAACGGGTACGTACGAAAGAGAGATCCGTGCTTTGAATGGGTCCAAGGCAATCCGAGAGACTGGAGTTTCACGAGGGAGAAGTCCGTTAATATCATAGGCACACCGGTTCTTAGATTTGTTCCTAAGAATTTTTTTAATTAAGTATTTCTAATGGTAGATCGATAGGCATAATGGCTCACCTATCCTGAGATATCTCGCCGTCTGGCCCGTTGATAATACCAATATTACTGATTAGATCTCGTTAGTCGGATATAGGGTTGGTTTTCGAGGGAAGAGATACTTACGTGCTATCATTGACTTCACTCCCGAGGGCGAAGGTGGATTTATCAATACGAGCTCTACTTCCCCTGGGCTTAGGTCAGGCAGGTATCAATGAGTGTATCTTTCAAAGTACCAAGCTTACCTCTCTGGTTTACTCTTCTGAGTAGCTTTAAAATTATTCCCAAGAGTATGATTCGCTCTGAAACACCTTTTAGTCTTCAATCCTCAAGAAGTATAGGTGACTTACTCAATGTTAGTGATATCAATACTTTCCGGAATGCTAAAATCGGATCTATATCTATCCGAGCGTTGATTATGGCTAGAAGCCCTGGAAATTCATGTTAGCTGGTCTCATTTTATGCAAAATTCCCCGAGCGATGGAGATTACCTGCTGGTAGAAGCACTAGGCTCATAGTTAGGCTTATCTCCATAATCGCAGCTACAATTAAGGTTTATGTTAGTAAGATTTTTGTTTCCAGGAGATGCATACCTAACTACCTTTTAGTATCGCGATAAGGGGCAACGGCACCCCTTCTAGCTCTGCTCTCACGAATGGCACCAACGCTGAGGCACTCGTTAGTCACTAAAAATATTTGTTTTTCGTGAAGCGACAACTTACCTGCTGCTTTCTGCCGCGGAATACGGTTGATAAGTAAAAGGCCGATTACTGGCAGCACAGTTGTACAAGCGGGCTTTTGGCGGGTATAAAGATGTCTTGTTGAAGCGATTCCCCTCATCACTGAAGAACTCGTAAGCTGAGAACCTTATTTTGAGCTCATTAGGATGATTCACATTCTATTTTGCGACATAAACATTGCACTCGCAGTTTGCGGACCACTAACAAGACTCATGTTACTTAGGCCATACGAAAATAAAGTTGATGAAAAGGAAGCTTACTGCTGGGACAAATTATCACCCACTTCTTGGCCTCTGATATCCCCATCCTCGAGCTGGCTTCTTCTATCTATAAATGAGCCAAAATTCAAAGGAATTCAGGGGGCGACCTACCTCTTAGCCACCAATAGTTTAACTCCGCTAGCTGGGGTGATAGAAAGGTCCTCGATCTCACCAGCGGGAGGTAGAGGATGCCTCATTGAGCTTGCATTATGATTAGTACTCGAAAGCTCGAAGAAGAGGAGTTAATAGATCTACCCACAATTGGAACCTGTGATACTCAATTAATCCATCGTCATCGTCATCACTGCTGTAGTCAGATGCAGGATTGAAGCGAGTGTTGCGGGCTTCAAGGGTTGACTGATGAATCTGAGAATTCCGTGGTTTATGACGATTGTCAAATGGATCATTACAATTCTGAGTTGGCAGGTCTTGTAAGATGGCCATAGGAACTAGGTCAACCATCTCTATGCCCTCTCTTTCAGAGAAATCAACTTCATCACTAAGACCGCAGTCATCTTTTTCACTGCTTTTTCGGATTCGAAGATGTTAGTGGATTGGTTTTAAGAGATAGATTATTTACCAAAAGAAAGAAAGAAAAAAGAAAAGAAAAACTAGTTAGAAAACGGAAACAACTTACTCATGATCAAAGAATTTTTTAACAACGCTTGATGGAGTCATATCAAGCCAATTAAGCTCCAAGCCCTGAGCAGGAGTGGGAACATGAGGAATAGACAAATCCCCTTCAATATCATCTAAGGGTATGGTTACCATTGGAGAATGAACCTCTTCATTATCTCGCTTTGCTAAAGAAGATGCAAGACTTTCACGGCTATATGAAGCTGACTTGGGAGGGGTTGGGGGAGGGGAGCGAGGATTCAAAAATGTTGACGCTCTCAGCTTCAAGTTTTTAGCCACATTGAGGTCTGGATAATACGCAACATGCTCCACAGGAATAGTCTCTTGGTGAGACCTGGTTTCTGGCATGTTGGATAAAAGAAATTGTGAGAAAAAAATGACCCTTTGTGGTATTTTCTTGAGTTGAAATCTCGAGAAAAGTCGATGATGATGGTGATGATGATGGGAAAGAAAGAAAAGAGAAGAAGTGGAAGTAAGGATATTCATAGGTGACTGTCTAAAAAGCATCCGCTGCTCAGTGTGGGGGGTTTTCTACAAGGATTTATCCGGCACTAATTAAATAGCTGGGAATTATTAGCGGGAAGTTTAATGGGGGAGGGGGCTCACCTGCCGCTATTTCGTCATATGTTGGTTGTGGGAAACTTAAGAGCCAGCTTGAGCCAAGTGAATTCCATATGAGCTCGAACCTGAGTATCTAGTGTAATGAGGCGATATGTAATGATATGGGAGTTATAGGTGATTCCTTTGATACTTATGGCTTCTGGAGAGCTAAGTAGTCGATATATAAAATTGAAATGTGATGTGACATATATTTATGTGGAACACAAGTCCTGTTAAATCTACACTGGCATGGAGAGTTGACAACAAGCACACGAGATGTAACCTGCCACTTTACCATAAACCTCCCAAAGATATATGCCTATTAACACCAGTCGCTACTGCCTTTAAATTACCACCAGTTGACACGAAACTATCTGTTAAACACTCTGCCATATCTACCTATATCAACACGCTCAATTCAATGCAGCATCATGATCACTTACCTATGCAGATGTCCGGATTTCTCTTCATGCCGAGTCACCGCACGGCATTGGGAATAGAAGAGAGCTGATCTTTCTGGACTCTCAAACAGCATCTGAACAACCGCCAGTCTGATAGCTATCGTAACATACCTTTACACACCTATATATACTAATGTCTCCTGGCAGACTTTACGCTTAACGGCAGTGTGCGCGTAGGTGTATCGAACGAAACCGCAAAATAGGCCATACACGAATACGGTCGTCGAGCTACACATACCTAGCCAAGGGCATATCAGTATGGCAATATGGAAGCGGGCCGCCGCCGGCTCTACCTAAGTCGATGCGCTCCGAGTCGTACTACGTATACTCAAAGTATAGATCAAGAATCACGATCAATTGATATGTATATCACGAAGATACAAACAAGCACAGGCTCTCCGCCTCCGATAAGCGCACCTTGGTCTACCATCTTTCCTAGGCTCTGGTTGGCTACTGGCTCTGTGTGTACACACACACATGCAACTGAATTAGTTACGCATATGCGTAGTACCCGCCAACTAATAAATTTTCGCCAGCTCCTACCTACTATTTGCTTCCATACTAGGCTGGGCCCAGTACAACCATTACTAATCTACTATTTAAAACCAAGCACTTTAAGACGCAAGCCTTACCCACAAGACCTGCAAGCCGATCATTGGCCACAGTAAAACTCTTCACTCACTGAACTGATCGGAAGCAAAAGATATGCGACAAACCCGGATTGAACGGGTGACCTCCAGATGGCACCCCGGATAAAGAGACTTCAGTCTGGCGCTCTCCCAACTGAGCTATTATCGCGTCGCATGCAAGACGAGAGGTATTTGCGATTGTGGGGTGTTCTGCCTCCAACCTGGGGGCCAAGAGCCGCGTTGGGGCTAAGAGCGACAGGCATTCGTAAGGCTAGAGGAAACTATTATAAGCGAACTCCAGGGGTACGCAGAGGGGAGTCGTTAGGCGCCAGGACGTACTCTACTTTTCAAAGTAGGATATAGAAGTCTGTATTAAGGATTGATCACATGCTGGGGTTTTAAACAACTTCAGCGAAAGATATACGTGTGTCAAACTACTATGTTTCTACTGATGAGCGAAAGACTGTCGGAACCCCGATAAATAAATCTATAAACCCACTTTAGCTCCCAGTCGCGATAAAGAAACATACATTCGATCCTCATAACCAACCGACTGCGAATTCAATTTATCCGTAGTTCTCTTTGTCACTTGAAGTTTCCAAGTATATAGGCTGGATACTCTGTGATACGGCATTTCAAGAATCCGAGCACAAGATATATCATACGGAATACGAACAAAACACCTATATGTCCACTTGAAATTCTAGTAGTTTCCAACTGCACCTTGAAAATCCCATGACCTCACAACCCCCATAAGATAAGAATCCCATCCAATACTAGCTCTCCTTCACCACCACATTGTAGATCGGCAGCTCTCGTGAAAACCTGTAATCTCGGATGGAGGGGGCTTTGTAGCATCTCCCGACAGGTTGGTTAGTAGAGTAGGCTGCGCGCTGATGTGTTTGTTCTTCCTCTTTCGTGGGGTTCTTACGTCAAAGAACATTGGGTTCTGGCTGAATGCGAGGAGTCGATGTTGTGGTTGATGGGTTTTCACTCGCTCAAATGTATCATGAACGCTATGTGGTGTCCTATCGCTTGTTCTGTTAAAGCTGCCGGCTTTTCCAAGTATCATGTCTCAATCCTGTCGCTTGCGTGCAAGGCTCACCCAATGTTACCATGTCTTATGTTGGCAGCATTTAAGTACATACTCTGTAGACACTCAAAAACCTTGAGACGATGCACACCGCCACCTGTCTACAGACTTACCCTCACCCGCGTAGTAGTTATGTACTCTACATGTAACAGTTTTAGGTATACTCGAGCCTTATGGCGGGCCTTTTCTGGTCAACAGAAATGAGTTAGAGCTAGGTATTGGATGTTTCTCTAATCTAAAGAGAGAAAAAAGTGGGAGGTTCCTCTAAATGCCATGTCCAAATATTGTACAATTGCTCGACTTTACCGGCGCACCATCTTCATCTTATATATGGGCCTTTGATAGTTCACATATGGATATATAGATAGATACACGCATATTATCCCCCTACAAGAAACCTCTACTTTAAATTGGAAGCGTTCTAAGCATAATTAATTGGGGTTGGAGGGATGTTAAGCTTGGCCCGCACATTTACAAGGGCTATTTTTTTTACAACTTTCACCCCATCAGGCAAACTACATGTATTATCTGCTTCTCCTGTGATGGATTTCTCTTCTAGCATCAATATTAAACAAAGATGAGGTACAGCTACGTTCTCTATAAGTTTACAAAATCACATGAAAAAAATCAAAAACTGAAGACCCGCCCTGATGCGCCCAATATCTCAACATTATTATTAACTGTCCGCACGCACTATCATTGACTTCCGGGCAGTGCGCGCACAGTACTCAATACCGCGCCCGGCTACCCGGTCAAGGGTCAATGATAGCGCGCGCCAGACTGAAGCCGCCGGCAGCCCGCCCGCCGACTACCAGCCAACAACAGTCCGCATGTTACGCATCGCCGGACCCGGACACGAACCACGCTTCTTTCAGAGCCCAGCTCTAGATATAATTCTCCCTCTCATGCCTCCCGAGCCTATCGCGCTGCTGCGGCGTACCGGCCCTTGACTCGTGGTGTGGCCCAGAACCGACCGAGTGGTGAATCACCATCGGCGGGCGTACCTCCTCATCCCTACCTATCGACTGTCCCCTACAACTAAACAAGCTCCCGCCGAGCTCAAAGTCCTTCATCCGACCGTTCCCCTGCCTGTGCGAGCCGCTCCCCCCGGTCACCAAAAGCAGCACGACGCCGGCCATGCCAAGGCCCGCAAACAGTACTGCGGCCCATGCGAGCGCAATGCCGCTCCCGCCCTTGAATGGGACAACAGCCGGGTGTGTGCTGAGCGTGCCGTAGACGATTGAGGATGCGAACTGGAAGAGAATCGCGGTGATGAACGTGAGACTGAATGCCGAGAATGCAAGCAGCGCAAGCAGCTGCCCGAGCTTTGAGGTAAGGTTTACGACGCCCGGCCTGCAGGCGGTAAAGATAGAGAGGAGTGTGAGTACGCCCTGGGTTGTGAGCGCGATGATAGGCGGGTATGGGGAGAGCGCACCTTGGATTGAGGCGCCGAGTCTGATTATTTCGATGGTGGAGGGGTCCAGCTTCTTGGGATCGGTGCGCGACTTGACACATGACATTAGTGAGCTGCGGCTGCGGGAGCAGATACCGAAGTAACTTATGAGCACTGTGGTGCCCTCGTCGGTCTGAACCTGCAAGTCTCGTTGGGTTACCTTCGCGGTGGTCGTGGCTTTCGGGGCGCTGCTCGTTCTGGCTTGCGACGGCCGAGTGGTGGTGGATATGCGTATCCTAGAGAAGGTGCTCAGGGTAGGTACTGACAGAGAAGTTGCGATTTTTGTGGGATTTAGAAGAGTGAGCGCTGTCGGTCGGGAGAATCTGGACGACGAGCTTTCGGTTGACGAGCTCCCAACCAACGAAGTTCCGGCCAAGGCGGAAGTTCTAGGGAACGCTGCCTCCCTCGTAGAGTTTAGTACTATCTTGACTACATGCAGGCCACTTATGGCGGGTGCTGACGATGTTGTTCCCGATAGCAGGAAAGCTAATGAAATAATTTGTTAGCCAGAGCTAGAGTAGTACTACACCCTCAGATTGCAGAAGATGAAGGTTGTGGATTACCTGTCAATATTACCGACAATAGTAAACATAAGTGTGTCGCCGGTCGTGTAATCCCGAAATTCCACATATTACAAAACCTGTGTCCTTTTCTGGTTAAATTGATATATAAGTGTGGTTTGTGCTTGAGGGTAAATAGAAATCGTTGTTTGAATCTTGTGTATACATCTATCGAGTCCATTGACCGTAAATGGAGTTATATACATACATGTATGTGAATTCACCTGAAAACATTTTCAAATATTCTGTCCACGATGAAACTGAAACTGAAACCGACACTGCTAGTTATAATTAGATCTCTAGGACGTGACTCGCTGGAGTCGTAGTCCCAATAAGGGCGTCCCCGCGGATTGTGTTTATTTTTCAAATGCAGTGCAAGTGGTCAGTACTCAACTGTTACCGTACACCCTTGTTGATGAAACCGGACGGATAGGAAACGACTTGAAAGGCAACTACAGTACCAAATAAGAGGATTTAATGGTGCTGGAGTAATACGGAATTATGAAAAACTTCCGAATCAAATTGGGGTCCTAATCGTTATACCATAGCGATATCGCAACCTCACGGTATTATATACATGTAATTATACCAGATAAGGTGCTGAGCTGGTCCGTTCTCTGGCCATGGCCCTTAAAAGATCTTTTTGTGCAAGCACAGACCAACAAACCTATTCTTTTAGCATTTGCTTTCGCTGGAGACTGCAATTATTCAAGATGCCTAGATAGCCCAGATAGACCAAATAGCGAAGCATTCGAGAGTCCGATGTCCAGTTTTCTTTGTTCTATGCCCGTGACATGAGTCCATTAGCCCGAGTGATAAACCATGATGCAAACGTGCAAAACAAACTCAAGCCCCAAATCACGTCATCATCTTGTAAACAATTCCCATTCTAAAATTCAAACCCCGCAAATTCAAACCCAGTCCCGTCTCTCAAACGGTGACGTTGCCTTCTGTGCGTGCTAGTAACAGTTGGGCCTAAAGAAATTTAGCGATGCACCAGGATTAAGATACTTGGCAGTTAGTTGGTCGGGTCACCAGGTCGGTTCGAAGCTTCCCCGGATGGCTGCAAATATAGTCGCGCCTCACCCTGCCGGATCTCAATATCCCGGATCCCTTACTGCCCCGTACGAAATCCCCCGAGATTTTAATTCTCTTGCTGTAAAATCAATTTGCTATCCCGGATTTCTCGTGAATATTTGCTATCCCGTATGGAAATTGTCTCGCTCTTGGCATCCGGCATAGCGAGGTGCGACAATTCAATTTTCGCGATATCAAAAAGGAATTCTTAAACTCGGGCCCATAGCTCAGACCCTTCTCGGAAAATTCTCCGGTTCAGACATCATCCGGGTATGGCTTGCGACCTCGTCTTTCTTGCCAATCGTTTATCTGGCCTTTTCGTTGAGATAGGCCCGCGGCGGGGGGTGGTACGATGCTGGGGGGTCTTGGAGGTCTTGGAAAATCCTTGGACGCTGGCAAATCCGGTTCTTTAGGGGCCCAATCTCAAGGGAGTATGTATTATGTATGTATTTATGTAGTTCTGTTGGAAATATTTCCGCGTATGTTGCTTTGCATAATAATTATGTAGATTGGTGTCATATCCAAAGTACATGTAAGTAGGTAGAGTGCCATTCATCCCTCTGCTTTCATGTATCTCAGAATACCCCCCGCATTCATGGTATAAGTATCGCCTTGACAGTGGCCGCTGATTCACAAAAGGTCAAACTCAAAATTGGGTCCTTGGTCCATCGTTTAGGGTTCAATTTGTTCTGAAATTTCTTCGGGGGTCACGCCCACTCTACTAGCTCTAGAAATGTGTCGGAAATGTGTATCTAAAAACATCACCATTTATTGTCCGCGAAATAGCCTGTGGTACCGTGCTAATGCATCGAAAATGCATCACAGTCCGTAACTACGACTTTCCCGTGCCCTTTAAGCCGACTAGTATGTATGGCACGCTTCAGCAAAGGCATCAATGTCAGTAAAGGCATCATTGTGAAGAAATGCATCATCTAGAAGAATATTCTTTTAAAAAAATGGCTGTGGGGGGGGATTGAACCTGAATC